CATAATTTCAACCATGCCTCTCAAATATGGCATATCAATTTCCACCATGGCGACTGGAACCCTTCTTACAGTACGATCAACCCTCAATATATGACCCATCTTTTTTGTATACTGGTCATCTGGTACCAAGCTCTTTTTGATATAATGCCATTACACCCAGTGTCTCTCAACATGATCACAGCTGTGTCACCAACCTTCCCTTGACCCACAGGCAAAGTCCTGTCCTCCACAACACCACTTCGATCCATACATGCACCATTCACAACCTTTAACTGCTCCCCCAATGCCAACAACAAATGGTCCTTCTCAGTCATTTCAGGCACATCACTGTTAATTTGAACAGCAAAGCAAGCACTGATATTAGACTCCTCTTTAACCACTACAGCTGCGCCAGTGCTGGGTTTGACACTCTTTCTTTCTTGACCCCTGCGTTGTCCACTACGGCAGAACTTAACCAAATGTCTTGTGACACCACACTGAAGGCACTGTTCACTTTTGTCGTGGTTGACATCAGTAACATGGGATGGACATTGTGCTGCTCGATGACCAACACCCTGACATACAAAACACCGGATACTACTACACTGTCCCACATCAGTATTTCTAATGGCAGTCTTATTATCATTACACCTCACCTGGTCCTTCATGGATAACTGTTGACCATGTGCCACTAGGTACTGCTTTGCTATTACTGCCAACTCATCTAAATCTTTAGGTGCTCTTTCTTTAAGATAAACTGCAGGATCTCTTGTACAGGCACCAATAAACTGCTCCTTCACCATCAAGTCGGTAACACCATCATATGTTGCTGCAGTGCCTGACAACTCAACCCACTTAGCAAAATAATTCTTAAGCCGCACAATTAACTGGTCAGGACTTTCAGAACTTTCAGGTTTGATTTCACGAAATCGCTTTCTGTACCCATCCTCTGTGAAATCGTATCTTGTCAACAGCGCCACCTTCACACGATCATAGTCAACTGCATCAGTGTTGGACATCCTGGAATATACTTCCAGTGCTCTACCAGTCAACAGTGCACCCAATTTTGTGGCCCATCCATCTCTATGCCAACTCGCATTTGTTGCAAATCTCTCAAACCGCAATAAATAACTATCAAGTTCGTCTTTACCATCAACAAATGCAGACAACTTTGGTGACTGTGCATCACTGACAACATTTCGTTGACCGCCAAAATCAGCCTGTTCGAACCCCGGGATTGCTGCTTGCAGCTCTGATCTCCCCAACTCAAATTCTCTTTCCTTTTCATCTGCTTCCAGTCGTAACTTTTCCTTTCTTTCCTCAATCTCCATTTTCCTTACCTCTGCTTCCCTTTCCTTTTCTCGCTGTTCTGCTTCCATTCGCAATTTCTCTCTTTCACCTGCTTCCGCTTCCAGCCGTAACTTGTCCTTTATCTCCATTTTCCTCACCTCTGCTTCTATTTCCATTTTTGCCTTTCTCTCTTCCCTCGCCGCTTGTCTGTCAGTCCGCTGAAAACTGAGTTGCTCCAAAATAAATTTCCTTTTGTCTTCTCCAGTCATTTCCAGTTCATCCACCCGTTCCAGCAACTCTTGTATCGACATATCTTTCATCTCGCTGGCCATATTGTCTTCTATATGTCTTCACTGTTCCCGGACGAGCCCCCAGATGTCACACGCAACGTAATATTACCGTAATTGGTATAGTACAGGTGTGATGGTTCAAATACCAAAATGGCAACAGTAACAGAAAGACTTTCCTGGGGGCGATGATAAAATACGAACACGGAGCCAACAGATGAGGTTTCAACTGGTACTAGTATTATTATACTCTGCAAACATCAAGTACAATAACGCGGTAAAACTCCACTACTCCAATGACTAGATACTTAAACTCCAATACAATTCAACGAGATCTCCGATCTGAACTCAGTGCTGAACAACTCCCCTATATATACCCCACTGTCTATAAATAGACATTACATCAGCATACATAATGAGTCTGGAACTTACTACAAATTTCTAGAATGTTCCATAACCTTCTATTGCCTCCTACAGTGTTCTATTACCTATTCAACCAGTTTCTAAAAAAAATCTAGAATATTCCACCCAGACATGTGACATGGAAGTGGTAAATAAGTTGTATGCGACAATTGGCTAATAAATAAGGTACACATCAACCCGTACCTAGACAACTGCTTGCCACACAACCAAAACAAAGTTGCTGAGGACCCTTACATGCCGAGCATGTAAGGCTAACACATGATTTAGTACACTAATTAGGCTTTTTAGTAAATCTAGTAAATAAAGTCCCGTCCACACCCGACACGTCAGTTGGTGTTTCTGGGCATAGAGTTTGACACACACGCATAACTCTGATAATCGATGCCTTTCTCACAGGTTGGGAAGTGCCCCTAATGGACGAACAAGCCCAAGGAATATGGCCCCTGCATTGGATTCAGGGTCGCCATATCAATTGGCTCGAACTGAAAACAGTAAACTTAGCGCTGTGATACACCGGCTAACCATAGTTTGGGGGCCACAGAGTTTGCACTGCATTGACAACGCAGTGGTGGTCATCTACAACAACAAGGAGGAGGAGACCAAATCCCCATCGTTGTCAGCTCTGGCAGAGAAAATTCTCGGTTGGTGCCTGGAATGCAATGTGGAGCTAACTGCACACCACCTTCCACAGGTGCGTAACAGTCGAGCGGATGCCCTCTCACAGCGACTCCATTACCAGAACATGGAGTCGCAGGTACCCCCAAAGGATAGCCTCCAGACTGTTTCGGCTGTGAGGTCTCAAGATAGACCTATTCACCATACCCCGGAATGCCACGCTCCCAATGTACGTGACATTCCTGCCAACTCTAGGAGTGTGAGCAATGTGGGCATTATCGATACCGTGGGCTCACATGGACGTGTACGCCTTTCCTCCCTTCCTGCTGATTCACTGGGTACTGGAGAAATTTGACTCTGGTGGCGACCAACGTGCCAACCAAGGCTTGATTTCCACTACTGGAAGTGTTAGTCGAGACACCGGTAGTGCTTTCAGACATCAAGGATCTGTTGTCTCAACCGGATGGCACACTACCAATGAGCCCTGCAGTGTACCATTCACACACATGGATCTCAGTAGACTCGCACAGCCGGAAGGTTTATCTGAGCAGGCTGCCAACATCCTGACCAGGGCGAATATGGGTTCCATCAATGCAATCTACATTTCCAAGTGGCAGGCATATGTTGATTTGTGTAGTGGATGGGAGGTTGATCCATGACACCCCACTTTTGGCCAGGTAGCTGATTTTTTGTCCATCTGTTTGACGAGTAAGGATTGTCCTATACAGCAATCGTTGGCTATAGGTCAGCATTGTCACCCACTAATGAGAACGCTTTGGGGACAAGATTGTCCTAATATTAGGAGACTGCTTTACTGCTTTTCATAATCAGAGGCCTAGTCCCCAATCTAGGGAACCCAACTGGGTTTTGTCAGTTGTGTTGTCAGCTCTAAGTAGACCACCAATTGAACTGCTGGAATTAGCACCACTGAAATATTGGAAAACAGTCTTCCTACTAGCTCTCGTCTCTGGTAAGCATTGTTCTGAGTTAGGTGCCTTGTCCTTTTTGGACAGTTGTGCCACTTTTGTGGACAATCAAGCTATGCTAAACACGCGAATCAGGTTTCTCGCCAAGAACCAAATCTCAAGGCATGATCCACCACCAATCGTCATCCCCCGTTTGGCCAATATTGTCATCCCGGAAGATCAGGAGTTGCTCCTATGCCTGATTTGAGCTTTGAATTGCTATGAGAGATGTACTAGGGAGTCGAGGCAAGGCAGCAAGGACATGTTTATGTGTTATGGTCAGGGTAAGCAGGATAGACCAGCCTCCTCAACTTCCATTTCTAGGTGGATCACTTCAACAGTGTTTGAGGTTCATGACCAACTGGCGTACTCACCACAGGGTCTACAGAGACACCAAGTACGAGCACATGAGGTTCGTGCGATTGCTAACTCATTAGCTCTTGCATCAGGTGCCCCCTCAAACAGGTGCTTAGGGCTGGCTTCTGGAGAACGCAAAACGTCTTTATCAAATATAACGTAAGATACATGCAATCAATTGAGGAAGGCATTTTTAGGGTGGGTCTGTCATCACGGGTCAGATTTTGATTGTTGATGATTGTTGCCTGGATGATAACAGATATCCCTGCGCATAGGCAATAGAGCAGTCTTGACTACAGATTTGTGTGGAGAAGTTTCTCACATCAGTGCTCTTTGGACTATGCTCTCATGCAGAACTGTTTTGGTCTCTTCTTTTTGGAATGCCAGTTACCCCCGAAATTGCGTTGGGTCTAGCGTCCTCAGGCAATGCCGATCATATCACCCTATATTTTCACTATTGGGACAACACTGGCAAGGAAAGACACCCTTTTTCTGGTCTTAGCTAGGTGGTAGTCACAAGTAAAGGCAAGATGGCGCTGACCTCTTGATCTTGTTCATGTGTTAAGTGACATAGGAGCAAATCATGAGGTCATGGGGCTTCACCTGACCTAGATTTCTCTCTCTGTCATTGGCTGAATCGCAGACTAGGCGGGTTGAAAACCCTCTGCCTAAATCAATGTTTATCAACACAGATGTCGTACATGTGCATCGCAATAACCACCGCCCTTTAAAACACAATGTTAATTTAATACAAAATAGTGAAGGAATACAAAGTTGGGTTGGCATGAGATATGTTATTCTGCAGAATGCCTACACACTAAGTGATAACAAAATACAACCACACATACCTTGATGATACCTCAATGCAAATGAAAACAATAAAACGACCTTTTACATTTACAATACAGAAAACTCGATCTGGCTAAGCTAAGGCCCCCAGGGTAAAATTAAGTTACCTGCAAGAGTCTTGATAAATCCCTCAAGCCCAACTCAACAACAGAAAGTCCAGTAACAAGTCACTATGTATGTGAATATGCCACCTACTGACCCGCAATAAACAGGCTCATGTTGTGTTACCCAGCTCTGCCAGAAGAGCGGCATTGGGGGTAATGAGAAATGAATATGTCGCATAACTTCCTATATCCCAATGCCAACACATGGTTCAAAGCTTCACCATCACAAAATGCATCGTAGTTATAGCTAACACTCTCAGTTCGTGTCTTGGCTGATTTTCCCCATAACCCACCTGGAAAGTGTGGTACAATTCATTGGCGACTGCTGTTTTCCCCTTTCATGGCAAGTGTACATTGGAGCCTGAGTACCCCTGGATGCCAGTGCTTACTGAGCCCGAGTGTCCATTGATGCCAGTGCTTGCTGAGCCTGAGTACCCCTGGATGTCAGTGCTTGCTGAGCCTGAGTACCCCTTGATGCCAGTGCTTACTGAGCGAGAGTATCCCTGGTTGCCAGTTCTTGCTGAGCCTGAGTACCCCCGGATGCCAGTGTTTGCTGAGCCTGAGTATCCCTGGATCGGAGCCTGAGTACCCCTGGATGCCAGTGCTTACTGAGCCCGAGTGTCCATTGATGCCAGTGCTTGCTGAGCCTGAGTACCCCTGGATGTCAGTGCTTGCTGAGCCTGAGTACCCCTTGATGCCAGTGCTTACTGAGCCAGAGTATCCCTGGTTGCCAGTTCTTGCTGAGCCTGAGTACCCCCGGATGCCAGTGTTTGCTGAGCCTGAGTATCCCTGGATGCCAGTGCTTGCTGAGTCTAAGTACCCCTGGATGCCAGTGCTTATTGAGCCCGAGTACCCATGGATGCCAGTGCTGGCTGAGCCTGAGTAACTCTGGATGCCAGTGCTTGCTGAGCCTGAGTACCCCTGGATGCTAGTGCTGGCTGAGCCTGAGTACCCCATGATGTCAGTGCTTGCTGAGCCTGAATACCCCTGGATGCCAGGGCTTGCTGAGCCCGAGTACCCCTGGATGCCAGTGCTTACTGAGCCTGAGTACCCTGAATGCCAGTGCTTGCTGAGCCTGAGTACCCCTGGGTGACAGTGCTTGCTGAGCCTGAGTACCTCTGGATGCCAGTGATTGCTAAGCCTGAGTACCCCTGGATGCCAGTGCTTACTGAGCCTGAGTACCCTGAATGCCAGTGCTTGCTGAGCCTGAATACCCCTAGATGCCGGTGCTTGCTGAGCCTGAGTACCCCTGGATGACAGTGCTTGCTGAGCCTGAGTACCCCTGGATGCTAGTGCTTGCTGAGCCTGAGTACCCCTGGATGCCAGTGCTTGCTGAGCCTGAATACCCATGGATGCCAGGGCTTGCTGAGCCCGAGTACCCCTGGATGCCAGTGCTTACTGAGCCTGAGTACCCCTGGATGCCAGTGATTGCTGAGCCTGAGTACCCCCGGCTGCCAGTGCTTGTTGAGCCTGAGTATCCCTGGATGCCAGTGCTTGCTGAGCCTGAGTACCCCTGGATGCTAGTTCTTGCTGAGCCGGAATATCCATGGATGCCAGTGCTTGCTAAGCCTGAGTACCCCTGGATGACAGTGCTTACTGAGGCAGAGTACCCCTGGATGCCAGTGTTTACTGAGCCTGAGTACCCCTGGATGCCAGTGCTCGCTGAGCCGGAGTACTCATGGATGCCAGTGCTCGCTGAGCCTTGAGTACCCCTGGATGCCAGTGTTAGCTGAGCCTGGATGGCAATGCTCGCTTCTGGTGATGCAAGAGTTTGCATACTTGTCGCAGGCTCTACTTCCCCCTTATACCAGGAGCCAAGTTCAACCGTGGGATGACAATAGGGGAGGCTGGTTTGTCAGGTTACCTGAAGAAGTGGTTAGTGCACTAGGTGACTGATGGTCAGTCAGGCTGCTAAAGAGAAAGATATATCTCATAACTAGCGATAGTGTCATTGTTGACCAGTCAACAAATGATGCAACATATTGCAGTTTATAGGGCAATTGCACAAAAACAAAAACAAGGTCGAATATAGTGTAGCTCCTCAGTGGCACTACAGCATGCATGCCAGACAGTACCTTGAACAGTGTTTTAATTGTGTCTTACTCAATGACGTTCCTACCCAAACTGACAGACAACACAGTACAGACCTGATGGTTCCTACTAAGAATGTCTACCAGCTGAGTAATTAAAGGCTAGAAAGGATCTGTCTTGTATTGTGACACCAAGACTGGTGGTATTGCTTAGTGGATCTAGTAAAAATCGAATTATGCTCAGAGGAACTGGAGCATAGTTCTTGCCGGATCAGAGAATGAGCATAGCCTGTACCCATGTAAGTGAAGCAGCTCCAGTTCGATCAGAAAACAGGCGTTCCAAGTCGTCAGGTAATCTCATTGGCTGGTCTGTTAATATAGTGACCAGAGATTCAGCCAGAGTGGTACTATCAGTGTCATTTGTGTGTTTGATAGAATTTGGATGGGGTGTGTACACATGAATGATGATGGACATTGTATCCATGCCAGTGCTATCTGGCCAGGGGTGCGTGTCACAAACACTGGTTTTGGGTGGACAGTTCTTTGACAGTGTAAAATGAAATTTGCCAGTTAATGCCCCAAGTTTTATCCAAGTGTTTGTCAGTCAAAATGGAACCTTGTACGCTATTGGACAGGAAAATGTGAAAGGCTGAATGGAATTCGTGCCAAAATGTATGGAACCTGAATCAGAGATTTGGTGCAGACCTATGCTTGAACCTGCCAGGATGTTCGCAATATCTGGGTTTCTGTACATGCAGTGGGTTTGGCAACATAATGTTGTGTAGCTTTGCTCTACTACTAAAAGTGTATACAGGGTTGTTATTGACTCAGATGCAGACTTGCCGGAGATAAAATGCTTTTGTCATGTCTGGCGCAATAGTGACTGAAACATACATGTAATCAAGGGGAACTTGCCTGTTGCTGATATCCCTGCTTGGTGTTTATGGTTGTGAAAATGTTGGATTGTTTCCACCACAGATGTTGGTGGAAACCCGTAATGCAGTGTGTTTCTTGGTGTTTCATTGACTATGCCTGCTGTCACCCCCTGGTTCAATATAGGGCCGAGGCTGTAACTATAAGTATGTGACCAATAGGTTGGCACCAATTCTATGTTTGATTTGTATTTTGGTATGGCTTTGAGAACGTATGAGACCTTGAGAAGACCACATGGAATCTACGACAAACTGTACAGAACCTGAGACTTGGGGTCCTTTCAGCGAGTTGAAAAAAGGCATATGTTTGTGTGGATGTGATTAATATTTTGTGCCAGCCATATACATTCACACTGTCCGACAAATGAAATTTTGTGTTGCTATATTGGTTATACTTAATAGTTTGGAACATCGTGTGATTGAAATTCAATCTTAAAATGTCAGCTCGATAAAATATATTTTAAGAACTAAAATACTGTGAGGTTGGATTTTACGGCGGTATGTGGAAAGTTAGCAGAGTGGTGTCTCGCTGTGTACTGTTTGTAGAAATCAAAATACTTTTAAGACCACTTAAACACACTGACATTGGTTGAATGTTGTTTGAAAATCTTACTAATGACAAGCAAGCCGACGAAGAGCATGGTAATATTAAATATTTTGTGTCTGCAGTTCACAACCACCGTACACAAAACACAGGTCAAGCTCAATTTCTTTATTCAATTATTGATGAAGTCAAACTACAATTCACAGGTTTGAGCAGGATTTTGAGGACAGTATGATAATTAATTTCATATAAGTGACGTCACATAAGTGTAGTTAGGATTTCAAAATCCAATAAAAATGATGAATGAGACAGTTTCTTACTAAGACCAAACTTTTAGCATAGGATACTGATAAGAAATAACAAATTCATTAGACCATGTCATATTATTATTATTAACGTTTCGCTAATTATTGATCTATATCCATCTTGCTAGTGGTGAAACACTGGCAAAAACTGACATCATACAAACGAAGTTGTTGTTAGTTGTAGTAACACAGAAATTAGTCGACTTTGAAAGTCAACTTCTCTGCGACTTTCTGGATAGTAAGCTGGCTGAGTACAAATGAAATTTAACACCTCTTTCCCCGTCATTGATCATCCAAGATGCGCGAAGTATCTTGAATCTACTTTCTAAATGTGTTTATTGAGAAACTGTTTAAAGATAACAACCCAGAAGTGACCAGTTTTCTTTTTCAGGGGATATGCCCAGTAATTTATTTCCAAAACAAGCAATTCAATGAATTCAACCTTTCAATATACAAATTATGTAACGTGGTAGGCCAAACATGTACCCCTACTAGACGTGATTTCTTTAAGGTTGCGGTCCTAAGTTTTAGTCAAGTACAAGTTGTTGTATTAGTAATAATAAAGTTTAAGTTGTGCTTTTGTTATAATGATGTATAAGACAATAACCTATAACTATTGCAATTACCAAAACTAATATTGTGTATCAAATTAGCATACTTTTATAACATAGATGTTATATACAAAACAGAACTGCATATGTCAAACAGATAATATAAAAAACGTTTGCTTATATAGAGGTAAATACGTTATGAATGAATGAGTTCAAAATAGTTTAATTAACAATCTATACATAATTACACATCCACGTTTCTTGGTGAACCATTCTATCTCGTCATTACTGAATGCAGAATCAATTTGCTCCAAGGCATCAATTGTTTCCGCTCCAACGTTGTATTTGCCTGGATTGATACACACTTGAAACGCAATTTTTGCATTGTAAGTTATCCCAGTCAGCGTATCTTTGTATCTGAAGTTTAAACAAATACACACTCCGAATTGATTTGTGAATATATACAGCCATGCCTGTAGTGTTTGGTGATGAGCTCTATCGCGATATTCTCCAATATATATGTATGTGCCCCAATTGCAGATCATTCCTGTGACCATCTTTCAATATTTGTTGAGAATCGAAGACAAATCTTTGGCTATTATTGCATGAGTAATACATACATGCGTTTGTGTAAGGCATAGATATAAGTGCGTATAAATAATTGTGAGCATAAATATACCAGTAATTGGCCGTAAAATATCTAACAATGTGTTTGAGATATAGTGGCAACTACCTGACCAATATTCTACAAATCCCGTAATAAGCTGGAAAAACTACACCAGTAACTTTATATCAGAGAAATTGTGTTCAAAAATGAAAACCAGACGGTCGCCTAGATCAGACTGTCAAACAAATTTATGTGCATAAGTATCACCCGTTTACTAAACTTAGTCAACTTTGTACAACATCTATCCATTGTTTGATTGCGGGTTGACGGATGGACAAACATACATATAGACAGAGAAATCTTATTGTATAACCCCTTATTCATGAAAAAAAAGTTCGATGAGGGCTACCATGTACACTAAACGGAAAAGAGACAATTAATAAAAATGGGGAGTTGTAAATGATGCCAAAATCTTCAGTTTTGTTATTATTTTACTTACACACTACGAAGAGCATATACGTCACGGCCAGAATAACGTATACTAGGTGAAAGAAATAACTGTTTCTTGTCAAAACCCTCAGGTGCATTCTCTGGCTTGATATGACCATCTCGTTCTCCCAGTGTGTGTCCATTCATAAGCTCGTCACCTAGAAGGATAAGTAGCAAATGTTAATAAATATGTACTGGCGTAAATAACCAAAATTATACAATAATATATAATACTTCATCGCAAAACAGTCACTTTAATATCTAAATTGAGGTTTGAAAAGAAATCTCCCCGTTGGTAAATACGCCACTGCAGATCGCCATCTTTTTAAGTGACCTTTTTAATGCTTTTTTAAGCTTTTTAAAGTTATCATTGAAATTAGGTTTAGTATTTTCAGGCAGACAAAGTATGTCCCGCCAGACAATGTCTAGTTATTGTGGGTGCTGTTTTATTGACACGGAACAGATGTTTAAAGATTGTGATGAAAGAGGTTAATGTAAAGGAGGTTGATTACACTTCCCATTTCCCTTGAAATAACTGTTAATCTGATGTCATCAGATGAAGCTGGATTTAATCAGTGAAACTCAGATACACTGTAGTGCAAGTAAACAACTAGCCCGCCATTTTATTGACCCCATCTCGAGACTGCCACTAGATGGCGCTATAATTCATAACACATACAGTATATACCATTATCTGGATATGACATCCCTCCCCTTTTAGAGTGATACTACATATTACTATGGCAACAACCAACTTTATAATAATGAACTCAAAAACATAATATTATTAACAGCATTGAGGTTAACAATATTGTTCTCAACTAAATTTGCATAGTCTGCACTCAAACGTTTAACAGTAACTATAAACTTCATAATTCAACAAAGTTGTCAG